AATATTTGTTACTGAGAATCCATAGAAACACGTATAAAAGATAACCTTATTGTCAAACAATAATTAATTGCCAGTTCTGACTGTGGAAAAGGTGCAGACACCCTCAAGCACAACTAATACACGTGAATTTATTCAATCTTTCTGAAAGGCCATCTATTCATACCTATTAAAATCATTGAAAGGTGTATGCTTTATGACTTCAGGACTAACCAAAGGAAAGAAGGATATGGGCAGTATTTAACCAATCAAGAAGCTAACTCGAAGGCCAGGGATTTAGCTCAGTGGTGCCGCTGCCTGCCTCGCAATTGCAAGGTCCTGAGTTCTAACTGCTATTCATTTAAAACCATTGAAAAGAGCTTAAAATTTCAAAACTCAATAAGGTGGTTAAATTAACTTTGGTAAGTCTGTATACCAGAATATACAATATACATTTTAAATAATGTTTTGCTGTAAAGAATAATATTGTATTGACTTGGGTAAGCATTCCTATTAGTGAAAATAAGTGAAATATTAAGCAAAAGCTAGTGACAAAATACCATATTCCAAAAAAAATTTTTTTTGTTGTTTTTTTGAGAAAGGGTCTTACTACGTCATTGAGACTGACCTGGAACTCACTATGTAGCCCAGACTGGTCTCGAACTCACAGCGATCCTCCTGCCTCAGCCTCCTGAGTGCTGGGATTACAGGTGTGCGCCACTACACCCGGCCCAAAAATTTTTAATGACAAAAAATAGAATGGTTTGTGTTTAAGAAAATATAAACACCCATTTTAAAAAGACCTATATCAATAGATATTCACCGAAATGTTAACAAGTATCACTGGGTAAAGACATTAAAAATGCTATTTATTATTTATATAATCCTGAATTTCCCAATTTCCTATAATGGCTATGGACTACACTAGTAATTAAGAAAATATGCAATATTTACAATATTGTTGTGACTGTAGTAACAACAATACCCTAAAATATGCTAACACTGACATTCCTACTTTTTTAGGCTATATCAAAATTTCAAAATTCAGGATACCCTTACAGTTCAGGTGAAATCATACTTTGATTTTTTTTTTTTAATCACAGTGAAAGAAATTTTCAGAGCTATAAAAAACAATCAGACAAAACACTTCATCCCGCCTTTCATGATCAAGTAAAATGTCAAATAACATTCAGATATTAGCTCCACTTTCATCCCCCCCGACAGAGGTAAGACTCAAGGATGAGGAACAATCTCTGGGTCTCTACATTCAAATTCTGACCAGAAATTTTTTAAATAAAATAAAAGTGTAGGGGTAGGAAACATAGGTATTACCTTTCTCAGGATAAAAAGTAGTGGGCCTTTAACAACTTCTAATCACAACTCTTTGTCTCCTTTGGGAGAAGAATGATCTTTCTCCCCCAATAATTTATAAAGTATATCTAAAGGACAAGCAAGCAAGATTTCATCTTTGCCAAATGCTTTAAACAGGAGATTTTCAAGTGTTATATGTTCTGTTTCCCCAGTGCAGCCTAATTCTGAGAGGGCCAAAAAGACTGGCAGTACTTGGCTCTCAATAATAAGCAATAGACAAACTGTTAATTCCATCTGCCCCCCTCCAAATAATGACAAAGCATTACACCGTGGTTCTAGGGGTCTCAGGCTTCATAGAAGGGCTTTTTCTGAGGGGCATTAATTTTCACAATATTGAGATTTTCTCTAAGTTCTCTGAATATATGAGGTACTCCAGAGAAACAATCTTGATACTATATGACAACATTGTTAATAACGAAATATATTATCTTTTCATCATATTCTTTGTTAAAGATATTGCTTTCATAATTTTTTTCTCGCTGATCAAAATTCTGAATTCCTTCCATTTCTAGTTAAATAATTCATCTTTCCTGAATCACCTACCTCCTTGTCTCTACTCTCATTTTTCCTATGAATGTAAACAAATAAACATAATATTACTTCAAATATTCTTCTGCAGTGGTTTTCAACCATGCCTGCAAATTGAAATAATTAAGGGAACTGTAAAAAACAAACAAAAAACAGTGCAAGTAATCTATACTGACAAAGTAGATGAGTAATTAGTGGCTTCCTGGGAATAAGAGAAAAAGATTACAAAAGGAGACAAAAAAAAAACTGTAAAGAGGTATGGATATGTGCATTCTTTTAATTGTACTTAGGGTTTTCCATTGCAAACATGTCAGACATTAAATTGAATACTTTAATTGCACACTGTAGTTTAGTATATGCTAATACTTAAAAGCTCTCCAGAAGATTGTCAATGTGTAACCAAGATTGAGAGGCACTTCTCTACGGCTATCATTTTCTCTGTTCTTTACTTAGGGTTAGTTTTATTGAAAAGTCTCACTCATAGGCAACTAATTTATTATTAACTACCCTTACTTGCCTGATCTTCGGAAGATTGGTTTCTGAACCACCACCCACCTAAAACTGTACTTGTTAAAGTTAGTTATGAACTCCTAATAAAATCACTGGTTACTGGGGTCCTCTTCTTACTTGATACATCTTTACAGCATTCAAGATTATTGATCCATTCCTCCTCCCTTTAAAAGTCTCTCTACCCTTAGTATCTTTCCTGAAGTTTTTCCTATCTTTCTTTCTAATGACCACTCTTTCCGACTATTTACCTATTTCTGCTATTTATCAATTCTCTTGCTGCAGCTTTTATCATACTAATGGACTTCCTTGTGGTACTTCTACAAAACCAAATCAATACATCTTTAATTTAACCCCAAGCTTCTCTCTAATTTGTTCCTTTATAAATTCCACATCCATAGATCCAAACACCTATCTACAGTTTCAGCTGAATGTTCCACTTCCTCAAACTCAAAACATAGCAGTTATCATCTTCTGTCATTGGTACCAAATCAAATCCTAAGAGTCTTGAATGCTCCTCCATTCCTCCCATCAGGACCCATTAGATTCTATCATATTTTAGCAAGCATCTAAAATACAAACCCAATAAATAGCTTTTCATTCATCATCTTCAATCCAATCCCTTCAGCTAAGGGTAGAACGCTGTGGTCTGACCCTCTACCACCCCCACAATCCTCATCTCCCACCATTTTTCTACTAACCCTGCATCAACCTGTGATAGTGTCAATGTTGTTAACTTGTCAGTTGACTCATCACGGGCTTGTCATTGCCAGTGACTTCCCCAACTTCCACAGTTGGTTTCTCATCCCCCTTGCCTTCTCAGTAATTACATTCTCCTCTGGAGAGCGCTTCATTAACCCTTGCACTTCAAAACTCTGTTGTGTGCTCCCAATTCCAGCTATATGCAAGGTGAGTTGACCATTTTCTATTCTACGCTTCTTTACTATACTAGGCATATCTCTGTCCGCACTTACTTTAAGGTACTATAAATATCGCTTTACTGTAAAGTTATTAATACCTCTCATACATTACACAATAAATTTCTGAGGACAAGAATTATGGTGTTCATTTATAAATCCCTAGTACACACTAAGCCTAGGGCAAGGCAATGTCAATTTATGTTTGACATAATTTCAATTATTTACAAAGCAAACATTACTTCAAAACAGGTCTTGAATACTAAGATTTTAAAGATTTCTTAGGATTCATTATTTAAATATATAAAATCATTATTTATATAGAAATTCACTACAAACAAACCTCCCAGGGCTATCACACTGGTACAAGGTTATACCAATCCTTATGACTCTATGCAGCTAAGGTTTTACAAATTGAAAATCTCAAACTGTAAAGTGTTACATGAACCAAAAAATGTGTCATACCTGCTCCAAAAACTACTGCGAAACCCAAAGGACAAATAATTTGCACAAAGACAGATGGGCCCTACTGCCCGTAGTACAGTCTCTAAGGTAAGGAATAGCTTACAAGACTCCCCCTACCTGAAGAGAGCGGCAGTTGCCAGGCATGCGATAGTGTATTTCCCAGAGAACTGAGCCTGTGCAGCACAAAACCACTAGGGCAAAATTAAAATCTTTCAGGAGCGCCTAAATTCTGAGGGTACAAAGCACATGTGCACCCTGAAGGGCGGATACCCAGCTTTTCTGAAGCGTGCAAACTTGGGCTCTTTAATGCAACAATTTTCAACTAAAAGCCCTAACGATTCTGGGGTAGGGTGAAATCAGCCTCGGAAGAATAACTCCTGGAATGAAGGAGGCAGGGGTTGCAGAGATCTTCAGCGTAGTAAATAACCAAGGGATAAATTGTAGCTGCTTTCTGAGTCTAGCCCGGCGCGGGACCAAAGGAGACGAATGCTGTTTTCAAAAAGGAGCGGGTCACAGGGACCATCTTGGCCAGCACGCTGGACGGATGGCGGTGGTCTCCCCAGCGTGCAGAGAGCGGGCCGGAGGGGTAGGAAGAGCCGGAGCGCCAAGGGGGCGGGGTGGGAGTAGGGATCCCCACCTGGAGCCGACCCCGCAGAGGGGCCGAGGCTGCAGTACCGGTCACTCCCGGGGCGGGACAGCTGCTCGCCGGGGAAGAGGGAGACTGGGTCGGCGAGCTCACGGCTGCCGCCTTCCAGGCAGCGGGCGGGCTGAGCCCAACTTCTGGGTGAGCA